TGTGACTCTGGAATTGGGAACAGAGACAGATTGGAAAAATAGTTGAGAGAATTTGATTGTTATTTGGCTGTGGGGGAAGAGATGGAAAGGCAGGTGTCAAGGATAATAGTCTCATTTTTGGTTTGGGGGACTGGATAAGAGAATTTAATGTAAATGAAGTGAATGGGATTGGAGTAGAAGAGGGGTGGGGAAGCAGTGGCACTCAGTTCTGCCTGAGGCAGAGGCAGCACGTCTAGGTGGAGGTGCTCTGTTGGGTATGTGAGGTCAGGTGGGAAACCCCTGGCTGCGGAGCTTTGGCTGGAAATGTAGATTTCGCTATCATCACTATACATATAATAGTTGGACTCAGGGGAGTGATAGAAGTAACCCAGGGGAGCATTTACAGAGTGAAAGGGGGCAAGTTCTTTCCTTAAGAACTGCTATCTGATATTTGAGCTGCCAGCCATTGTTGTAACCGGATTATTGGGAACCAGCAAAGAGTAAGGAAATCAAGGCTGGTCTAATATACTCATTCAGTAGAAACCCAACAAAATTGTTTGATTTAGGAGTGAAAATGGTCCTCTCATGGTCTTTCCTAATCAGCTGCCACAGCATCTGACAGTCACGTTATTAGAGACTCTCTACTTTGAGTTAAGGCATCGTCTGTCATAGATACATCCCTAAAAAGAGCTAGAATTTTAATCCACTGTTGGTAGTGGTGGTATTTTTAGGTCACTAGGTTTTATTCTGGAATTCAGAGAAAGAGTAGGTTTGGGAAACTTGACATTGCTGAGGAGTATGGGACCACAGAGGAACCTGGTTTGAAGCATCGAGTTCACCAGGCACCTGGATGAGGAGGTAAGGAGAGCCCAAGACTCGGCGTGTGTTTGGAGAAGGGGGATTGTGAATTGGAGAGCAAAGAGGTAATGCCACTAAAAGGCAATAAAGAGCATGAAGAACTAAGTAGGGAGAAAATCTTGAAAGTATTTCAGTTATAAATTAGGATGACCATATAATTATTCATCCTAACTGGGACATATTGACAGGGAAAGGGAGATAACTATAGTAATTACATTGTGGAAACCTTCATAAACTGGGACTATTACAAGTAAATAAGGGCGAATGGTCACTCTAGTTACAATAGATAATGTAATTATGTAACAAATATGTGCAAAGCGGTGTACTATGTAAACATTTTATACATCTTATTACATTCTTACAATAAGCCTGTGAGATAAGTAGCATTGTCTTCATTTATTTTTGATGAGGAAACCAAATCTCAGGAAGGTAAAATATCTTGTCCGTAATTTTCCATGGCAGTCAGAATCCGAATGAATGAAATAACCTGATACTGACCGTAAACAAAATCCAAGTAAACTCAAACACTGCATTGTACTGCAGTTGCTCTCAGGGGGTGTGTATTTTTTTTCTGGAATATTATTAAGGAAATTACTGTCATAATGTTACATCATATATTAAACACAGTTCCCCTTCAGATAGCCATACTTCCAAAGGCCAGCTTTGTATTAGATCATATTCTGGGCCTTTTACTGTAGTATCCTAACATGAGCCATACTTGGCCTTATTAATTATTTCCATTTCACAGTAAGTGGCAGAACCAGAATCAGGCTTTGACTGTTTGACTCCTGAGCCTGTTTGCTTAACTGCTGTCCTGTGCTGCCTCCTCTAGCCCATTTTCTTTGTGTGGATGTATGTTTTTTCATTGCTCTTGGGAATGGGTTTGTTTGAGTTCCTGGCTACTGGTCCAAAGTTTGTGTGCCTGACTTTTGAAAGGCCAAAACTCAGAACATCAGAGTTTGAGGTGAGGAAAGGTTTATTGATTGGGAAGGCACCAGCTGAGAAGATGGGAGCCCTATTAGTTTCTTAAATCTGTCTCAAGCAAATACAGAGTTCAGGGTTCTTTTAGGTCAGGGGAAGGGAAAAATGGAAGGGGCAATCAGCAGAACTCTCTATTACTAGAGAGTAGAATTTTAAATGGATTCTATAGTATATCCTTGGTATGGCTTCTTAGCACACTTATTTTGAAATTCAACCATGTTAATGAATGTATAATGGTTTACTGTTTTTTTAGTGCAAGTAGCAATACACTGAACGGCTATAGTAATCCCCCTTATTTGGTTTTGCTTTGCGTGGTTTCAGTTACCCACGATCAGTTATGGTCCAGAAGTATTAAATGGAAGATTCCAGCAATAAACAATTCATAAGTTTAAAATTGAGTTCCATTTTGAGTATGATGAAATCTCGTGCTGTTCCACTTCTTCCTGCTTGACACATTATTCATCCCTTTGTCCAGTGTCCACATTAGTTACTGTTGTTAATCACTTATTGTGCCTTATTTATAAATTAAACTTTATTATAGGTAATGCATGCATAGGAAAAAGCATAGGCTACATAGGGTTCAGTACTGTGTATGCTTTCAGGCATCCACTGGGGGTCTTGGAAGATATCCCACATGGACAGAAGACGGCTGTACCACCCTTTATTTGTATAGTTTTTTTTAAAAAAGATTTTATTTATTTTTAGAGAGAAGGGAAGGAAGGGAGGAAGAGAGAAAGAAACATCAGTGTGTGGTTGCCTCTCATGTGTCTCCTATTGGGGACCTGTCCTGCAACCCAGGCATATGCCCTGACTGGGAATTGAACCAGTGACCCTTTGCTTTACAGGCCCGCACTCAATCCACTAAGCTTCACCAGCCAGGGCTGTACCACCCTTTATTGAGTCACCTGATGGACAGTTGGGTTGTATCACAGTTTTTGGCAATTACAGATAAAGCTGCTTTAAACAGCCTTTTGTGGACATACACTTTAATTTCCCTTACGTAAATTCCTGGGAATGGAATGGTTGCATTGTCTGGTATGTCTGTGTTTAGTATTTTAAGAAACTTCCAAATTGTATTCAAAAGTGTTTTTACTATTTCACAGTCTCACCAACAACATGAGAGTTACTTCCTGTGGCTCCATACCCTTTCTGTTGCCTGCATTTTCCTCGTGAGTAGTGATGGTAGACTGACTGACTTTCATGTACTTATTTGCTGTGTGTGGATCAGTGGAGAAGAATGTGTTCAGGTCGTTCGTTCCTGTTTTAAATTGGGGCTTCCATTATTGAGTTTTGAGAGTTCTTCTTATATTCTGGAAACAAGTTTAATTTCAGATAATGTGATTTTCATATACTTTCTTCCAGTATGTGGCTTCACTGTGTTTACAACAGTAGACATTAGTGATTTTGATGAAGTTCTGGTTTTCACTTTTGTCTTTTATGTACCATGCTTTTGTGTCGTAGCTTTAGAAATCTTTGAGCTGAGGCCACAAAAATCTTCCCTTGTGTTTTCTTCATGAAGTTGCATAATTTTAGGTTTTGCCTCTTAGGTCCATGATCCATTTTGAGTTAATTTTCTTATGTTACAAGGTATGGATATGCAGTCATTCCAACTGTATTTGTTGAAAATGCTGTCCTTTCCCCACTGAACTGTCTTTGCACCTCTGTGAAAAATTAATTGACCTGATATGTATAGATGTACTGAATCATAATGCGTGTGTTTATTTGTCTTCTTTGCACACCAATTGATAACTTATTCCTAATTATCTTATTTTCTGGTACACTGTACAGTTATTTTGAATTTCAGTTTGATTTGTTCTTTGAATAATTGTTTTATATTGTTTTGGGGTATTGATCTTGTAAATCCTGTAACTTTCCCAAACTCACTTATTAATTCTAATTGTCTTTCAGACTAAGCACAGTGGGTTCATTTTCAGTTTAGATTTGAGGAAACGTGAGCTTACAAAATGTGAGTGTGTCAGGCACCTTGCCAGGAGTGATGTGTGTCATCGCCAGCATTTTGTCTCCATTTTCTTTTAATGAAATAGTAATGTTCCTCCTAATATGGAACTTTGAAATTTCAATCTACCATTATTTAAATAGTTGAATTTATAAGTAATTTCAGGAAAGTGATTCTGAGACAGGAATTGTTGTTTGTTTTTAAGGGTTTTTTAAAAAATGGGATTCTAAGAATATATCCAAATTACGTATTTTATAGAGAAAATTAACTGCCTAAGTGATGGTTTTTGGGAGCGTGAGGGGAGGGTATTTGATAAGTACTTTGAGATTTGAGGCTTGAGAACTAACTACATGTATCACTGATTTATTTAGATGAAGAAGTCTTAGGAAGCAGTGGATTTTGGATTATCAGTTTAGCTTGAACACACTAGATTTTAGATCTGTTTTTTTTTGTGTTAAGTGCTTATATGTTTAATTGGAGACTTGTAAATAATAGGCCTGAGGCCACACAGCTAGTTGTGTGTAGAACTTGAGTTCAAACCCAGGGCCCTGTGACCCCAAAGCCAGTGTGGTTATCCCTGTGCTGTGTTATGTCCTCAAGATGAAAAACGTGCTTGGCTTTGATAGTAATCAATGTTCCCTGCGAGCTATCATAAGTTAGTAGCACAGTTTGCTAGCTCAAATGCCAACAGGGCCAGACAGATGGCCGGGCCCTCTGTCTGGTGACAACGCCTGCGGGGCACTGTGCACCCCATCCCAGCTGAAGGACTAGGTGCTAATCAGCTCTGACCCGGTGTTTCCATGTGCAGACGTGGGCCCGTAATTGCCCCGTCTTCTGTTTTTTTCCCCAGGAGACGTCAGAAATCATGATTTTTATGTTGTCCTCTGATATATACATGTAGGTAGCTCTTTTAACATGCTGTGTAGGCTGCCTTTTGTGGGTCCACTAAACAAATGTGTTGGATTCTGCCCAGTGGGCAAAGCTTGGTAAGAGTTGCATTTGATACACTCTGGACACTATGATAAATGTACATAGATGGGGAAAGGGTGGTAACTGTAATAAGTACATCACAACCTTTGAAATACAGGTTGCTTAGTTTGAACAGGGCACTTAGTGAATCTGGTGTTTTAAGTTCAGTTTTTATATGAATCAGTTAATTATAGGTGGGGGATGGGAATTGTGTCCTGCAACTTTTTGCCTACTGATTGTATGCTTTCATTTGCAGATAAGGGCCAGTTGTGAGTCTGTGGATTTTTGAGTGAAACCTCAACCCAAGTGAGAAGACACCTTCAAGGAACAACTACTGACAGTGAGTCTGCAGTCATCTCTATGCATAATGTGGAATGTTTCCAACCCAGAGACAGCTGAGTGGGTGACTATTGATAAGGAGTGGTGAGTCTGAATACCCCCACGGAGAACTTAAATCCTTTCCTTAAAAAGAACACTGCTCCTCCTACATTTCTCGCATTTACTGACTGTTAACTCTTGGGTGAGAATGACAGCGGTCCAGTGTAAGAGAATTCTTTGTCCCTAGTAATGTGTTTCATGTATCATTGCAGTTCCTCTTTCTCCTTCATTTAGGCACATCCCTTCCTTTGTCTCTGTTTTTTTGTTTTGTTTTTTCTGCTAGTCCAAATCATACCTTCAAGGCCTGTCTTCCTTGAAATATTCAGCCAGCACTGAAGTGATGGTCTTAATAGTTACCAACATCTGTTCTGATCTTGGTTATGGTAGGTTTCATTGCCTTTGAAAGGGATTGTTTTAGGAATGGGCATGAGACCCAGATTCAGGTAATGGGGAATGAAAGGGAAATCTATGAGAGGCTCCTGGAAAAGGATTTTGTACTTTTTAAAAAAACATTTTTATTTATTTATTTTTAGAGAGGGGGAAGAGAGGGAGAAAGAGAGGGGGAAGAGAGGGAGAAAGAGAGGGAGAGAAACAGCAATGTGTGGTTGCTTCTCACATGCCCCCCCGCCCCATGGGGACCTGGCTTACAACCCAGGCATGTGCCCCGACTAGGAATTGAATAGGTGACCCCTTTGATCACAGGCTGTCACTCAATCCACTGAGCCACACCAGCCAGGGCTAATTTTTTAATTTTGAGAAAGAGATGATCCCTCTTCTTAGAGCTTGTTTTAGCCGGATGTAACATTTGTAGCTTCCGTGTTCACCTTGGCTACTAGCCTGGAGGTGATGCCCTTCTGTAAAGGAGGGCAGAGGCAAGAGACATGCAGAGACTAGAACTGGGTGGAACCCCATTTAATAGAACCTCCCTAATGGTGGAATCCTTGTTATGTGAGAGAATCAATTTCCTTATTGTTTAAGCAATTTTGCCCTTAGACGCTCTGTTATTTACTGCGGAAATCACTCTGATTCGTTTGATTTCTCCCCTTTCCAATTACTCACTGCCTTTTCGTCTCACACGCATTTCTGCTTGCGGTGTTCTGTGCTGTCTGGTAATGTTTGTGTATATTGCCTTCGTGTCACATTATACACTTTGTGAAGTCAGGGGTTGTGTTTATATCCTTACTGTGCCTAGTGCTAGTACTGTTTTCTTAATAATGCCACCAGGTGTGTATTTATTGAATAGAATTATTTGAACAGTATTTGAAAAACCAGTCCACATAATTGAATAATTATAGAGATTTTCTTTTAATTCTTGTTCTTTAACCACACTGCTTCCTTCTAGGATTGTGAGTGAAGTTTTGCTTTTGATTTAAGATGACTGGTGTGCCACCATTTTCAAGTGGTTAGTTCACCTCTAAAAATGATGTTTGGATTTAGCCTTCTGTGTTAGTTCAACTTTACCATGAAAATCAGCTCCTGTCCTATATATTTGAAGATTGGCTTTCAATCTAATAAATTTTGCATTCTTCTCTGTTGCAAAACAGAATAGTTTACCCTCTCTTTTCTGTGCTGATTATAGGAATGAAGGACATGGATAGTAAGAAGCATAATAAAGATTAATTTGTTTGGCTTTAGAATGTTCATTCACAAAAATCTGCCTAAAGAGTACCTATTTGCTCTGTTCTTACGATCTAATTGTGTGTTGAGGGGGCTGCCGTGGTGGGGGTGGCGTGGGAGACTCCAGGGCAGAAGGACGTTTGGTGGTGATCTAGTATCTGGTGAGAGCAGTCTTGAGTTACAAGACGGATTATTTAGTTGCTTGTATTTCAAAACTCTATGAAACAAAACAATTTTCCCCCTTAAGATATTCATGTATTATTCTATCTTTTCTTTAAATTCTGCTATTATAACCTTTTAAAAAGAGGAATAAGAGCCTCTTTTTTCTTCCTGAAAAACGTATGTTGTTGCTTTCTGTTCTGTTAAGGAGAATCAGAAACTTGTGTTGTAATCTGGTAACACATTCTGGACCCTTCAAAGAGTGATTCAGCCCTGGCCGGTTAGCTCAGCTGGTTAGAACATTATCCTGACACACCAAGGTCATGGGTTTGATCCCTGGTCAGGGTACATACAAGAATTGACATGGGAACAACAAATCGATGTGTGCGCACCTGCCTGTCTCTGTCTCTCTCTATCTCTCTCTTTCTCTGTCTCTCTGTTTCTGTCTCCCTCCCCCTCTCTCCCTCTCCCTCTCCCTCCCTTTCTCAAACCAATCAAAAAAAAAGTGATTCACACTCAGGGAAGGATTTACTTTTTTTTCTTGATGTGTTGTGCTTAAAATATGGGGGAATAACTTGAAGAAGATGGGAAGTTGTATGATGTGCTTGGCTCATTAATTTTAATTTGGTAATAGCATTATTTAGTAATATAAAAGACTGAAATCACTAAGGCCAGCTTTCATGTGTTTTTTTTTTTTATGTATGTTATGAAGAGATTGTAGCAGTGGAATGTGTGTGTCAACCTAAGGCCGTCGTGCCAAGCGTGCTATCCAGGCCAGATCAATCAGAATGACCTTAGGACATTTGCTGGAAATGCTGGGATAAAGGCACTTATTTTTTTCTGCTGAATGTCAGCCTGAAAGTGTACAGTCATTAAATTCCTGAACGGCTGTCTTCTGATTAGAAAAGGACAGACAGTTGAATAAGAAGCCAACACAGGAGGAGTAGTGCAGAGGAAAACCACGCCCCCAGTCAAGTCTTCCCCCAGGATATTATACCACTAGACTTCTCAGTTACCTGAGACAGTAAATTCTTTCCTTCATTCAGATGGCTTTGGATTTTATGTTACATGCAGATAAAACATCCTAACTGATGTATCTTTGTTACCACCCATTCAGCACTGTATAATAACTCAAGGGATTTACTAAAACTCGAATTGTGAATTAAGCAAGTAGGTCTCTGATACAGATATACAAGGTGGCAGGTACTACAGGTCACTGATATAAGAATTCAAGTATAAGAGTTAAGGTGGTAAACAAATGCATAGTCCCGCTGTTGCTAATGGAGCTTATCATCTGAAAGAGGCTGATATTAAGTGAACAGTCTTGCTAATGACTAGGTTCTTATTAACGGAGTTTAGGGTTCTAGAAGAAAAGGAGTGTGGATTAGCTCTTTGGTGGGGACTCTTGTTGAACCACTGGCATCTCTAGAACTGTAAAACATAGTGTGGGCAGCCTGGGATCTGGCTGACTTAAAAAAAATAATGAAAGTTCTTATTAATCTCTTTTTTCCCTAAGAAGACATTAGAAATGCACAGGACTGCAATCCTTTATTGAAAATTTTGGGGCCAGATATGTGTTGAACCTTCAAGATTCTTTGGATTTTGGAAAGGTTAATATAGTATATATACTGTATATTTAATATATCTTTTTACTTAAGGAAGAGACATGTGTTTTTTTATTAATAATATCAATAATACTACTTCACATTACTTGAACTACTAAATGCCAGGCTCTGTGTACTTTTCAACATTTATGTTACCATTTTTTACACTTGAGAAAGTGTAGAGACATTAGATGACTTTATCAAGGCTTATGCAGCTAAGGAGCAGTAGAGTTGAAGTTCTGACCCATGTCCGTCTGGCTCTGCTTGTGCCCTTACCCATGGCTGCACGACCTCTTCGTGTGATGTGCTGCTCAAACTCATCTGTGTGCAGTTAACATTTGGAATATTTTTTCTCTTAAGTCTAATCAGCTAACTTAACTAAATTCACTTAGTATTTCTAATAGTCTTATATCCAATTCACTTAGCTTTTCTGGGAATGCTGTCCTTATTTGTAACTAAACATAATTTTCCTTTATCCTTTCCAGATTTTATATCTCTTAATGGTTCACTTACTAATTGCATTGGTTAGAACTTCTAGAACATTGCAATTATAACGAACATCTTGTCTTGTTTATGAATTTAATGTATCTAGTGTTTCATTAAATGCTGACATTAACTGGATATTTATCATGTTTCACCACTGAGCATGAAGCCAGCCTCTTAGTATTCTTTAGAAATAAAATGTGAGATTAATTTACTTTTGTTTTATTAAGAATTTTAAAAAATTTTGTTTTGACAGCTACTTAGACCAGGTTTTAATGTGTGAATTGTTTCCATGTCATAAGTGCTACAAACTAAACATTGTTCAGTTATTTCTACCTGCTTATATTGCACTTCACTTTTAATCTTTGGTAGTCTGTAAACCTCTTACCTCTCTGGTGGATTCATTTTTATGCATTTAAAAATAAGTTTATTGTACTTTGTTGACTTATGTTTACTTTATTTTACATATTTAATTTTTTTTAAATTTATGTAGGCCTAGCATGTAGTAGGCATTTAGTGAGTCTATGTTGAATAAGTTAATTTTTATAATTATCTGATTACGTGAGTCATCTTGGTAGCCTATGTTTTGGCTACTTTTTGATAAGAAAATGTTGAATCAATTTTAGACATGGAAAAAAACCACAAAAAATATATTTAGGATTAAAAGTTGTGGTTTCTTGGCATTGTGGTCATGTGGCTGATTTCTGATCCTACCAGTTTTCCCTTCTGACTTGATAGCATCTTGTCGTCACCAACTAGAAGTTGTCTAGAGGTTTAGGTACTTACACACACACACACACACGCATACAGAATAATATGTTTTACCAAATGTGAGAGAATGAGGAAATGTGCACATTATAGAAAATTAGATACAAATGGCCTGTTTTAACTCGTGTTGCTGACTTTCCTAAAATCTCTCAAACAAGCAGCATCTGGTCTCTGCATACCCCATACCTCTTGCGAAGTGGCCCCAGGCCTGGAACTAGGAGCTCTGGGTCTTGGTTGTCAGCTTGGCCTCTCCCAGGCACCTCTAAACCCAACACATAAAGGCCAGGTGGCCCCTGACCTTGGCCTTCCTCTCCCGAGAGGCCCAGAGCCAGAGCACCCAGTGTATAGCCTCCGAGCATGCTGAAGCGCCACCCAACTACCTCCACAGGCAACACACTCAGTGGGTAGACACAG